GCCTATTGGGCCCTCAACTCCATATTAAACTCGAAGTCATCTTTAGACTTAAAATGCAAGCGCACTGTCTATCTAATGGCAATTAGGCCAATTCTAACTTATGCCTGCCCCGCCATTAACACTCTAAGTGATCACTTAAAAAATAAACTCTCTATGGCAGAAGGGAAGATTATAAGAAGACTCGTCGGCGCCCCTAAATGCATTAGCAATAATAGTATAAAAAGGGATCTTAAAATTGATGACATCAACGTCTATATAAAAAATTTAAACCAAAATTTCTACGATGAAGCAAAAACCTGTACCACCAGCAATTTTAACTCACTCCTAGATATTGAATTAATTGACGACAACACTAAATTTAGCCCAATCACTGCCTTTTTCCTTAGGGATATGACGTAGCCCTAGCACACGAAATACACTCTCGATTTTTGGTGCTAAGCACCACCTCTTCCCCCCATCTCCATTCCACCTCACTACTCCTCATCATCGAATTACTACTACAGATGAATCGGTTAATGCCGCTTCGCGGCAGCGCACCGAGATTTATATGATTTCTACCATTTCTACCATTCCATACATGGATAGGTACTCTGAAAAAATTGATTAGTTAGTATCATACGAGCTCTTCGTATCTCTGCTTTGTTGTTGTGAGTTTTTTTTTTATGAGTTGGTAGGCTAGTGTAATTAGTCTAATTTTAGATACAAGGAAGGATATCATGTGTTTTTCTAAGTCTGGTGTTAGTTTTACAGAACTTTACAGTAAGTTTTTTTCTAATTTTCGCTACTTTTACATACACTTAGTTTTTCGAGATAATTGAAGGTATGCTTGTAATTGCTTAAAATTCGAGATTGCTTTTAATCTTTTATATATATTTTTTCACAGGATTTAACGTGATTATTAGTTTTTGAATACTATATCTAACAGTCTGCTTTTAAAACTTAGTAATTTTTTCCCTCTCCGATATTGAATTGACTTATAAAGTTTTGTAACTGTTTCAGACTTATTAGACTTCCCACTAAATTCCAAAATACTGTATATTCAAGCTTAATAATGGAGTTTAGTGTTATAATTTTTTTTTTTTAAATTTAGGTTGCATAAACTTTTAATTTTGTTAAACAAAGTCTTTGTGAAATCCGAGCTTCGTTCGTTTCTACCTTTAGAACACTGAATTCACTATTGTGTGTGTGTGTGTCTGTGTGCGTGCGTGCGTGAGAGAGAGAGATAGAGAGAGAGAGAGAGAGAGAGAGAGAGAGAGAGAGAGAGAGAGAGAGAGAGAGATGCAGTAGTTGTTGCATTTATATAACTTTTATACTATTATAACTTTTATAATAATATAAGGAACAAAATTAAAGTCAAATTTTCCATTTTTCGTCAATTTTTCTGAAATATGTCACTGTTAAGGGGTTAAGCTATAGTTTGTCTAAAGTAAGAACTCCCCTAGCCATTCGTCTGGACCCGTGACGGTGACTACTGTAACGAGGTATAACTATTTCAAGTTTAGGTGTGGGGTCGTTGTTTAGAACAGGATTTGTCTCTGGTCGACGAGAGAAAGGGCACTTTTTCAACAAATCTGAAAAGTTTAGTGGGCTAAGTTAATCTTCTAAAATACAAAATTATATCAAAGTTTTAAAATATTTGAGATGAATGAAATGACGATTTAATTTTTAAACTTTACTTATATTGAGCGTCGAAGTGAGGTGTACTTATTTTAAGGAACGAGGCTAAATGCTTGTCTGTTAGTCTACTTCTGAAATGATTTTTTTTCAATGGTTTGATAGTTAAAAAACACTTGCACACGTATACAAGATTAAGCAAACATAGCACTGATTTTCTGGGCATGAGAGCTTAGATTTGGGGAACTAGCGTTTGGTAATTTGCAGAACTCAAACTTTGGCATATTTAGAAGCAACTACAACTAAATTAAAGCTGCAAATCCAACCTCTCTGTTTCAGAATTTACGTTGAAAGACAAGGTATCTAATTCTGTTTGACTGGTACTGAAATCTAGAAATCTGCGTTCAAACTGCGAGTTATTTCAAGCCATCTTATTAATTAAGCTTTTATTTATTAACTTAGGGAATTTAATATAACCTCGAGAAATGTAAAGTCTCTCTTAGCTCCCAGATTAAGCTACCGTTTAAAAACTTTGAGATGGGGCCCAGATATCACCGATGAATTTATTATTTTCTTGCATCTTAACATTGAAGTTGTTCATATGACAAAGATCTGTGCAAAAATGTTCTGATTTAAAGTTCTGATTTAAAGAGTCAAGGGAATCCAGATTTTTCCTATTATATTTAGTGTACTATCAGTCTTAATATTACATATTTTTGTTACGGGCATTTTAAAAGTTAAATCCCTTCTTGAAACTCGCGAAAAATATTACTTGTTTATTTCAAAACTCTCATCAACTTCTGTTATAAATAACACTAATTGAGCAGTATAATTTATCAGTGCTTTCATCCATAGTCCAAAATTTAAAATGTGCAATTTTTGACTCTAATTGTGATGTATAATTTTTATCTATGGCTTCGATTCTAGAAGTCAGTATTTCGCGATAAGCTTACAGCGTCAATACTATTTCATGTCTGGACATAAAACATCACAAACATTTAGCACACAATGTGTAACAAACTTCCATCATCGAGATATTTCTTTTTAGCAATCTTGCATGCTACAATGTAACTTATAAGCGCAGCTGCTTCTTGGACACTGTTTATCTTTGAAAAAATTTTGTCTGCCTAATAATGCTTTAAGACTTCCTGTGTTTTGTCATCTTTCCTATTCAAACATTGCTTCATAGTTGGCATTCTTGCGCTTGACTTCAAAATATCTGTTAATGTTGCAATTTTTAATAACTGCTCAATATTACAAATAACTCAAACAAGCACTAGCTATTTTACATTTAACAATTTCAATATTTACAATAACGTTATATGTGTGCAATATTTCCATACGCAATAATGTTAGAGCTCGCTCCCGCTGAAAAATCAGCTCGTTTGAGCTTAAAATGTGCAGTCTGCCACATGTGAAGTACAATTCAGCCATATTACATTCCGTATGTCTGCTCTTCTAGAATGACAACCGCTCGTTGGCTCCAATCTACGGCTATTCTATGAACTTCTGCTTTCAACATTTCACCAATTGAAGCTGTATGTGTTAGCTATTACCATCAATTTATGTTTTGTGGAACAAAAATAGATTAAGTAAAAACGTCATCAGTACTTTGTTAAAAAAGGAACAAAAATAGCTTTAAACAAATTAGACATGATATATATATAACGCATATTTATATTCGCCACGGATCTGCGAGTTAAAATTCTATCCGCTGACCAAATAAAACCTTCCTGCGGGGTTTGCCCATCCCTGCCCTAGAGTGAAGAGAAGCTACCCTCCTTGAAATGCGCTATTGTATCCATAGCAGCCTCAGACTTTGTGGCGGGGGTAGTTTTTACCGTAGACAAACTATAGGTTTATAAGTCCAATTCGGTTTCGCTACCCACTACATATGTGTCTAGTATCTCTCCTCTTCTGTTTCCTTAGATCAGGGAAGTTTAATATCGTTATACCGTTAATTAGTTTGTATGTAGTTGTGCAAATGTGATAACCTTCAGCCGGTGCGATTAATTATAATGAATTTTACCTACAGTACTTGGCCATATTAGAAGAACTCTAAGATTCTATGTAAAATCTTGATTATCACGTGATACGATACAGTATTATTATTTTTACGCGACTGCAACCTGTTTGCACTCGTTTACGTTCGTGTATCAATTGGTTGAATAAGACTATAAATACAGTGGAGCATCGTTTATACGACGATCACTTATACGACGTTTACATTTATACGACGTTTTAGTGTGGTCCCAAATCATTCCTATTCATTTTAATGTAAAAATATATCGTTTATACGACGCACAGAATCGGTTATACGTCGGTTTTTAGATTTT